TACCTGTTTGTGTTGGAGTGAAGAACTGTCCCCTGGACAGTGATCTGCAGTCCCTCCTGGAGACCTCCTTGGATCATCCCAGAAAAAGGAACGGCCTTCAGGGAGAAGATGTGGGGGCAGCCATTGGTCGGTGCTCGCCTGTTCCTGCTCCTGTGCCCCCTCCCAGTCCTTCCCTCAGGCCCCCTCACATGCGGCATCTCTCCCCACTCTAGACGCCATCCGCAGCCCCTCTCACAGATGCCTTTCCAAGCTCCTTGATAGAGCATCACATGGGTTGTACCGAGTGTGCACTGTCTTGTGCTCAGGCCCACTCTGAGTTTGAATCTCACCTCTGCTGTCCATTACCCGTGTGGCCTTGGGAAGCTCTTGTAATCCGTCTTTGCCCCAGTTTTCCCATCTCTAAAGTCGGGATAACTTCCTTGTTAAGTCAACTTATTCAGTAAATGATAAAAAGTCTATGGAGGGGCTAGGGAGATAGGTCAATGATCTAAGTACCTGCCTGGCAAGAGCAAGGACCTGGGTAAGTACCTGCTGTGCTCCGCAGGGAAACCGGGCATGGTGGTGCACACTTGTAATCCCAGCACTGGGGAGGCTGAGACAAGACGATCACTATGAGTCTGAGCTGCTTTGTGAGACCCTGAACCAAATAAATAAATAAAAGAATAAAAAAAGAAAAAAAGTCTATGGAAGAGACTGGCACACAATAGGTCCCTCTCGGATATTCACATCCCCATCGGGCTTTGTTCTCTCTAAGCAAAATTCTCAAATCAGTCACTTCCTGAATTTCGAAGTTTAGTTCTTGCAATGCCTTTTAAGCAGGGTGGCTCTACAACTAGCATGAAAGTCTAGTTCTGTTTCCTAGCCGATTCTCACACTTTATTCTTTCGGGTTTTTTTTCTTTTAATATTTTATCTATTTCATACAGGATTTTGCCATGCAGATCAGACTCATACTGATCCTTCTATCTCAGCTCCCCAGTGCTGGGATTATAGGCAAGTGCCACCATACCTGGTTTCGGGTCAGCCTGGTCTGCCTGGGGTTCTGGGGCCGGCATGGCAGGCAGTACTGAGGATCGAACCTGAGTCCTTGCACTTGCCAGACAGGTGCTTAGACTGCTGAGCTATCTCCCCAGCCCTGTACTTTTCTTTGGGCAATTCCCTACCCAAATTAAATGCTGGGCTGGGGATGGAGCTCCGTGATAGAGCACTTGTCTGGCATATGTTCAATCTCCAGTAATATGCAAAGAAATAAATGACAAAATGGCTATGAAAGTCAGGCAGGTGACACACCAGAGAACAAAGGGAAATTCCGAGACTCTTGTGAGAACTCTGTGTACTGTCATGAGAGACCGTGCTTCCGATATGTAGGCCGCTGGGAAGCTGCAGCCATCACTGATGCACACACACTGAGATATGAGGAACGGAAAGCAGAACATGAAGGTTGTTGTCCTCAGTGCAGAGATGGAATTGCTGAAGAAATCCGGGAATTGGCTGAGGGCAGATGGGGGCGGGGGACACCGTATAGGTTAATCTCTGATCATAAAGAAGAAAAGCCTGAAGGTCTACTAGTAAGAAAAAGGTAAAGTAGTAACTTATTCTATTTTCCTGCAATAGAGTCAGTGTAGCCTTCAAAGAAGAGGGCCTGGGCTGGAGTGGAGTGCAGTGGGAGAGCACTGGCCTCGTGTGTGTAAGATCGTGGGCTGCGTGCTCAGCCCAGTGAGAAAGAAAGCAAGGGAAAAGGCACACAGAGCACCAACACCGTCTGATGTCATTTGTATAAGAAGTAGGCGGAGGAGGAAGCACACATACGTTGCTCACTTACTGATAAACTATCTGTAGAATTAACCAACACCTGATAACACTGGGCTGCATGCACTAGGCTGGAGGCTGAGTGACACCTCACCCGCAGGCACGGGATAAAGTCCGATCTCACCCCTGGAAACTGTGAGTGTGCTATGTAAGTGGCCGGAGGGTCTTTGCAGATGTGATTAAGGATCTGGAGCTGGCAAGACGGGCCCAGGTCGCCCACTGAGGCCCACGTGGGTTCTGTGTAATCACAATGGCCACTGTAAGAGGGAGGTGGGAAGGTCAGGGTCACAAGAAAGAGTTGTGAAAGCAGCAGCAGCAGAAGCTGTTAGTTTTAAATTTCTTGTTGTTATTTGCTGTGGTGTTGAGGATCCAGTCCTGGCCCTGGCCCATGGTAAGTAGGCATTCTATTATGAGCTATCATCCAGCCCCAAGAGGCTGCTGGCTCCTGGTCAGAGGAGGGACACAAAAGCCACGGCACACAGGAGCCTCAAGAAGGTGGAAAGGCAAGGAAAGGGACTTTCTCCAAAGTCTCTGGATGGAAGCAGACTTGGTGACACTTTTTATTTTCTTATGTGTGAGGGATCAAGCTCAGGGACTTCTAGGCACCTGCTTTACTACTGAACTACACCCCAGCCTTTCAACCTAGCCTTGTGAGACATCTGACCTTCAGAACTGTAGGATAACAGACCTACTGTTTTAAGCCTGGTTGAAACGCTGCCATGGAATTGGGAGGTGGATTTATGGTCCCACAGGAATTGGCTCCTGTGACAGCTCCCTGCACTACCAGTTCTGATGTCGGACAAACCCCAGAGTCTCCTCTGGTCAGTGAGACAGTGATGCCCCCCCGACAGTATTCACGGACAGCCCCTGCCTGGAGCCCAGCCTTAGTACTGTTGCTGTTTGCATCAACACAAACCAATCCCTCACCTGCTCCTGGTCATGCCTGAAGGCTAGAATATTTTTCTCCCTATCTGGAGGTCAGTTAAGCAGAGCTGACCCTCAGGCCAGAGTACTACAGCCTTCTGGTGGCCCAGTGGCACTGGAGGGCACCTAGTCTAGCCACTGGCAGAAGGGTCTCACCCTGGTGGCCAAGGCTGCCCACAGTGCACAGCTTTTAGCCACAGGGCCTGCTGCCCTGAAAGTTCTAAGGCCTTGCTAGTGACCAACCTTTTGTGTCTGCATTATGTCCTTTATCCTCATAACAACTCTTGCCGTGGTCACTGTCATTTTTTCAGATGAGGAAACTGGAGCACAGGAAGGCTTATAACTTTCCCAAAGCCACACAGCTGCTCAGTGACAGAGATGAGATTTGAACCCCCAAACTGGTGCTTTTGATCTTGTATAGGCTGCCTCATGTTATAACACAGGACGTCCTTATTCCTGGCCCTCCCAGGTAGGACTGGGAGCCAGATGCCTAAGCTAGGGTCTCTTTGCAGGTGTAATTCCTCAGCATTTCTGGGAATTACAAATGACCTCTAGCACAGGTGACATCTGGGAGAAAGTGTGGCCCTGGCTGCCGGAGACCAGTGGGCAACCCAGTGGGTCCTTTACACCACCACCTGTAGGGACAGCCCCGTTCCCAGCCTCATTTTGGAGATAGCCCCTCTGCAGACAGGCAGGGCACACCTTTGCCTTGTGAACCCCAACTCACCTTTCAGGGCCCAGACGCCTCCACAGAGGCCTTCCTTGCTGCCCTCCAGCTCCTCATAATGCTCTATGCTCCTGGAGCCCCACAGTGTGCCAGATGCCATTCAAACCTGCTAGCTATGCCACCTCACATGCTCCCTAGCCCCACCTCAGGGGTAGGCTCAAGCATTACACTCATCTTATAGATGTGGAAACTGAGGCCCAGAGAGGGTAAAGCACCTTGCCTGTGGTCACTCAGTAAGCCAATGGCTGAGCCCCGAGGCCATCTCCAGAGAAGAGGCCACAGGTGCTATGCATGTGCATTGCTTTCTTCCCAAAAGGACTGCTTGCTCATGCTCTCTTCATGCCAACTGTCACTCTTCTCCGTGGTAGCAGGCCTGACACACACACACACACACACACACACACACACACACACACACACACGAGGCTGGCACAGGCACCCAGAGCCGGCAGTTAGCAAGTGTCAAATATGGAAATCGCTGTGCTGATTGTCCCTCTGTCCAGAAGCTTTCCAGGGGTGCAACTACCACTGAATAGGAGCTACGTCAGGATGAGCCAGTATTTCCACCCTCTGCGGGTCCCTGACAACAACCCCAGCCCCTGCTACCCAGTCGTTTCCTTGGAGACCCACAGCTGCTGCCCTGGCTGTGCAGCCAGCTCAGCTCAGGCCAGCTCTGAACTCACCGGGCTCACGTAGGGTGGTTGGGAGCCAGGAAAAGCCATCTTGCCACGACCTCTGTGGCCACCACTGCCTTTCATTCAGCTGAGCCGTCTGTGCAGAGCTGGACTTCTCCAGGAAACGAAACCAGGAAGTTTGGTCGCTGTTCAACAAGGAGGAGCCTGGGGAAGGAAGTGGACCTGGAGAGAGAGAAAGGTAGGTAGATGCTGGGGTGAGGGCTGCAGGTGGGGGTGGGGGAAACGGGCTCCCCCAGTGCGGTGACCTTGCTCTCTTTCCTCTCCCTGCAGTCCACCCAGAGATGGAGTCCCATTTGGTTAGTGAAGATACAAAGTGACGTGGCAGTGAGTTTGTAGACGGCACTGCCCAGAAGCGTGAGCTGTGCCTCCTAAGCTTGCTCCATCTTAGGGAACAGGAAACCTCAGGCTGGGCAGCAGCAGAGTTGCGGAGGCTGCCTGCATCACACACACACAGAAAAGTGAGGCCCAGAGAGCGCAAGGCACATGACCAAGGTCACACAGCACGAGTGTGCCAGCCTGGATGACTTGGAAACACTTTGGCTCCACAGAATGTCTTCCCTTTAAAATTTCTAGTCCTCATCCAAAACATGGTCACAGAGGAAGCACAGTTTTTCAAGACAAACTGTAAGCTGGAGATTTTTATTCTGGCATAAAGTATGTTCCAGGAACTTCGAATTCCTCCTGTATGAACTTACCTCTTCCTTTCCTTTTCCTCAGGCCTCAGGATGGGGAGAGACATTGTGGGCCCAGCACTCCAGGAAGGTGATGGGGCAGAACAGTTGAGATAAACTGGCTTTGATTGGCTTTGGCATAAACATAAGGAAAATCACTGGCTTTCCATGAAAAGCAGGATAGGCTGGTGGTGATGCAAGAACCATGACAATAAGGTTACCGGAGGTGAGTCAACTCCTTGCTCTGGGTGGCGAGGAGAGGTTGGGTGTGCAAGCTGCTGGGAGTTGGGAAGTGCTGCTAGTGTCTTGAGGAGCAGATGTTGCAAACTTGGGTCTCAGTACACTAGGGCTAGTGTGGCCCGATGGGAGGCATGGAGGCCACAAAGCCTGGTGTTTCATGAGAGGATTAATTCGGATGACCAAAGAGCACCAGGCCTTGAGGTGGACCTATGCTGCCACTTAGGTCCTTCCCTGCCCTTCCACCTGGCACTTTCTTCATGGCTGATGCAGCAGGAAGGGCCTGGCCAGGAGCTGGTGCCTTGGGATTGCACTTCCCAGTCCACCATCAGAGAGAAATAAACTTCTGTTGTTTATGTGTAACAAAAAATCCCCCCTCCCGTACTTTCGTGTCTTAGTTGCCCAGGTAATAGTTCCTGTTGCAGTTCTGGTTGCTTCTGTCTTCTAGAAAAAGCTGGGTACTGTGATGCATAGCTGGTCACTATGATGTATATTGAAAGAAAAAAATCAAAGACAGCCAAAAGTGTTCTTGGCCAACAGTGTTCTGTACTTCCTGTTTGCAATCCCATACAAACTTTCTTTCCTGAGCCTTTGAGGCCTGATATTTTGGAATGAGCCTAATCAGTGCCTGTCAGTGTAAATAAATCTTCCTCCAAATCCTGAGTGTCATTTCAGTGTTTCTGTTTGCTGTTACATCTGGTGCACTGGCAGGGAAAACTGACTATGCTGGCTTTTTGGTCACTGGTTGTGGCCTGCGCAGATGGAGCAAGGACCTCTCCAGGTCCAAATGGGAAGGTGTACCTTTGAGATTTCTCCAGTCTCCTTGGAGGTCTAGAGGAGGAATCCTGGTTACCCATTTGAGCAGCTCACATCAGACCCCGAAGGGAGGAGGACGCAGTCTGTTGGCCCATCTGACTGTCTGACTGTCTGTCAGTCTGCCTCCCTGCCTGATTCCAATAAGACCTTTGGGGTTACCCTAATTAGTCTGTCTGTCAGCCCTGTTCAGCTCAAGCAAAAGAGGAGTCTGATCAACTCATTGGTCAGGACCATCCTTGAGGGAAGGAGCTGGAATGTTCAACTTCTGAGTGCCTGTTGAGTGCATGTGTGAGGGGAAAGGACAGCATGAGCAATAGGCTGCTCCATCTGTGCACCAAGACCTGACAGCACTGGTCATGGTGGCTGACTGGGCCCCCACCCGCTGTTCTGTGGTAATCAACATGTGGCATAATGAGGCCCAGCACCCTCCTTTGCTGGGAGATGCCTCAGTCCTCATGAGGGGCACCACCAGGCAGTCATCTGAATGGTCTCTCTCTCTCTGAGGGGCACCGCCTTTCATCTGTTATGCCATCGTTCAAGGATATACAACACACGTGTACGAAGTCAGACATGGGGATTAATTAGTCAAAATCCACAGTCCTTGACTATGGGAAAAAGGGCTTTTCTGAGATTACAGAGCTAAAAATGAAATCAAGCCACTCCCTGCATCTCAAAACAAAAAAAAGGTGCTAGGGAGATGGCTCAATAGAAAAAGTGCTTCCCTGGCAAGTGCAAGGGCCTGAGTTCAATCCCTGGTTCCACCAAAAAAAAAAAAATTCCCTCTGCTAAAAAGTCTTTTTCTTGTTGTTGAGATAAAATACCTGACATGCAAAATTAAGGAAGGAAAGGTTTATTTAACTCACAGTTTGTGGAAATTTCAGTCCATAATCAGCTGGCCCCAAGGCAAGGGGCCACATGGCACAGGGGCAACAGTCCAAGGTTACAAAAGATAGCAAAACAAAAAGAGCAAAGGGTATGAGTGTGTGTGGGGGGCTCTTTTCCTCCCTCACATTGTACTGGGCTACCTGTGCATACCCTCTCTGTGCTTTCCTCTTGCATAGGCTCAGAATATTTATAAAGTAAAGACCCTGGCCCCTTACTGAGTCACTTCATTCAATCTTTAAACTTGTCGAGTTGACACCATATATCAACCATAATACCTGGGTAAACAGGCAACACCAGGGTGAAAGCCTTCCTGATGGGGCCTGTAGGACAAGGCCCTGACCCACGAGCTGGCCCTGGGGCAGCACCCCTTATCCACTCAGCATAAGTTGCTTCCTCCATGGCTCCCCACTTCTCCACCACCCTCTTTGAGTGAGCACAAAACTCCATTTGCTGTCCTTTGAAAGAGGAATCTGTGGTCTGGCTGTAAGGTCTTTCGTGGGGTACTTTGTGCAGCTGGTGGCCCAACTCTGACCATGCTAGGACAGGCACTGCTCTCCGTGCAGTGCAGTCACACTCACGGCATGCGCATGTGTATACACACACACACACACACACACACACACACACACACACACACACAGTATAGTCAAAAATGAAAAGCATTGTGTAAGCTTTTTTCATCAAGGAAACATACAAAGAAGGTTCAATTGGCCCTTGGGAGCAGACAGGGGTGTTTCAATGCAGAAAGAAGCATAAATAGCACAGGTTAGAGAAATACATAATGGCATAATATCGCGGCCTGGTGGCCACTCAACCTGCTGCAAGCATGGGAAGTTTGCTGTCCTCTGAGGCCTAGCATTGCAGATTCCTCTCCATGGAGCCAGGGGGCAAGTGAGCTCCAGGGACAGGGGTGGCTCCGCCCAGTCCAACCTATCACTTGGTGTTAGCTGAGGTAAAACATATGTGACAAAATTCATCATTTAGACCAACCTCAGTGAACAATTCAGGAGGCATTCTGTGCATTTACAGGGCTAACCCAACATCACCACATCTAGCTCCTGATGTTTTCATTTTCCTCAAATGGGTTTTGATACCTGTCAAACACCACCCTCCTTTCCTCTGGCCCTGTCATCTACCAGTCCTAACTTCATGAATTAATGGCATGTTCAGGGTTAATTTTTATGACACTTCCATTCTGTTTATTTTTATAATTCTCTTCTAAGTAAAAAAAAATGGCATTGGTTTTCACCTAATGGTAATAAATCAAAATGTCACTCGTTTTGCCCCCAGGGTCTCACTCTGACACCTAGTGCGATCCTCCCACGGTGCTGCTCAGTGCAGGCAGCCGCAGCTCCCAGCCCACCGCACTCACGGGAAACCACAGAGTCCTGTGGCATGCTGCGTTGCTGAGTGTCTTGCTCTGCAGGCCAGGCGCATTCATAGCCTGCTCAATTTGATCACATTTCAGCTTGTGATGGGTTCCTTCTGCTCTAACCCTCAGAGGTGTGAAGGCTCCCACTGTGGGTTGATCCAAGAAAAGGAAAGCCAGGTCCCATCTGCTGTTCCCTGAGGCTGTCTGGAACAGGACAGGACTGGAAACAGTGCCTCAGTGACAGCCCCAACCTTGAGGCTTCTTTCCTCCTCTAGATAGGAAGACCACAGCACCCACCAGCAACTGCCCCTATGCTACCCTAAGACCAGTAGTTCAAAGTGCATATCATTGATCACATGCTCTGTAGCAGGCTCCATTCTAACAGCCATTGATCCTCTTACTTCTCTGCCAGGGTGTTGCAGTTTCCACAGTTTTATACAGGAGCAGAGAACTTGAGGCACATTCGGCCCAGGCTCAGCCTGTGAGTGGGACCCCTTGGGGCCTGTTGGACCCTCATTCAACCCAGAGTCCAGGCGTGGCATACAGGCCCAGTGTGGAACCCTGCAGCAGAACTCCCTGCAAAGAGGCTAGAGGCAAGACCAACCCAGCTGATTCAGGAGAAGAACATCTTGCCAGAGTGGCACAGAGAATTCACCTCCAAGGGGTGCAGCAGGAAGAAGGGGAGTACAGCAACCAGACCCAAGCCACACCCACTTGGACGAGTTTGAACTTGGTAGATCTGGACCTGGTGCTAAGGTAATAACTCTATTGAAGCTCTACACTAAAGGTCAGAAGACAGTTCTATAAAAAATGACAAAGAGAAAGAGCAAAATACATTCTTAGGCCCTGAACTCACCCAGAACAAATGCAGGAGACACTAGCATAGAAGAAATTGGAAACCACACCCCTGAAATCTCTGAAATGATAGCATTGGAAGTAAAGAAACAACTGCAGAAAGTTATAGAGGAAATCAGATCAGAAATAATTTTTGAAGTAAAAAAATAAAATGATAACTGTAATCAAAGAAGTACTAAGTGCTTTTAAAGAAGACACTGATAAAAAGTAGAGGAGAATAGAAAAATGATGGAATCCTT